TTTCATCTGCAGTGGTCAGGCGTAGGCCCTCGACTTTCTTATAATCCTAAACCTCGACACCGATGCGTACCGCCGTAAAAGCCTTGGATGTGGTGCTTGTAGCACCTTCGGACAGGCTCCCCGCCTGTGCTCGGACTGTGTATAAGGCTTTCCTTTGGCAGCTCTCCAGTCGAGCGATGGCCTGCATCTCCTTGGAGCTTTCACTCAAGTCCTTTCTGGGGGGATGGGGGGGCTAAACACTCGGAATCAGGTTTCCGGGCAAGGTTTTAGCACAGTTTGCAACTATGCAACTTGAAGGGCTTTTGAGGAAAGAGTCCCCTGAGCGTCTTGTCTCACTGGAGCAACCGGCACCACTAAGATGAGAGACGTCAAAATCTTCGCATGAGTGCTGGGCTGTCTCTGGCAGCAGCAGCCCCCAGAATGCCTCAAGGCATGATCTCTTGTCAACAGAAACACCCTCATGGAATCAAGGATTCATGGGAGGCAGCAATTCCTGATAGGCGAACCCTGGGCTTTCCCCGAAAACCGCAGCATGATCTCTGCCTGCTGTTCGTCCAGGATCCCGGATTCTCGGAGAGCACTGGCAACTGAGGCGTCCTGTTCCGCTCGGTGCTGGGGTTTGAGGCATCTCACCGCATGCCAGGCAAAGGTTCCAGATGGATAGATTTGCAAGACTGGAAGACAAAGGTCCTGCAATTTTACTTAGGCAAGTCTTTCGCATTTTAAGGTGTCTGCCAGCTGGTTTCTGCAGACATGCCGCTTTTGGGATGTTCCAGAAATACCGATACTTCCTCCCTCTGCAGGCCTCCACGCCACTGAGGATCCAGGCTGGCGGCACCACCTTTCAAAGCGCAGGGAAGAGTTGTGTTCCTCAAGATGACAGCAAGCCCACAGACTCACTACAGCCACAAGCTCCAGAGTGGCAAATGATTACAAGCTCATTACAACTTTCTCTTGTTGTTGGCACATTTATGATGATTGCGAGTACTTCTAGTAACGACCTTGTGCCGTTATTGCGTTCAGACGCTACATGCCTTTAGGCTACCATTAGAAATCCTGAACCTCCAAGATTGGGATTCCCGACTTCCCAGACACTTTGTGAGGGTGCAGGCCTTACGCGGCGGTGGTTTACATGAGCCAGAGGAAAAAGAGCCGTTGAGTACCAGGAGCCAAGCAAGGGACTCTTCGGTCATCATTTCCGCTTGGGTGGACCGCCTCTCACCGGAACCTTTCCTCCTAGCCCTTTTAAGGTCTACATATGCTGCCTGCGGAAGCCTTCCTCCCAACCCCTCGGGCAGCCTGACGTGCCGTCCACTTCCGGGTCGAGTCGGTCCCAAAGCCGAACTGCAGGAGGACCCCAAAGGTGCCTCCCGTCAAAGTGTTCAGTGAAGGGTTCAGAAGGGAAGAAGAATCGATCCACATTCTAGAAGACTCAAGCTCTAGGTAGAAAGCCGGCTCGTGGATGGATGATGGGACTCCTAGGGGCTGCGGCTTTATGCCGCTTAGGCATGTGCGCCAGCTTTACCTCTGGAAGGGGTGCTTTGGCGAATCAGGTCCGGTTGCAAATAATCTCTTGCACATACTGAAAAGACGCCTAAACCTAAAACCCTAACAACTAGAACATGAGATGGTGTGATGTTCTCTGCGTGTGGCTGCGGGAGGGGGGGTCCGGTAAGTCACAAGGACCCGGTTGTTAATAGGCCGCGCATGGGCGCATCCTTACGGGGAATTTATGAAGAAGCGTACAAAACGAGGCCTCAGATGTGGAACCAGGGTTTGCAGTAAAGTTCCAGGTTCAAGTAGTCAAGGCTCTCATGGCTGCAAGATGATTCTTGCAGACAATCTACAAAGTTCACCAAACAACTAAGATAAATACAGGAAAGGACCGGGACTTAGGCGCGTGTTGGATGCGAAATCTGCAGAGCATTGTACAAGACTTGGACTTGAGGGATGTTGAGGCTAAGCTGGGTTAGGTCCCCAAATCTGAGAAGCCAACATGTTAGCCATAGCTCTTCAACTCTCCTTGGCCAGTGATGTATATTCCCCCAAGCTCTAAGTTCCCTAAACCCTAAACTAAACCCTAAGACCCACACCCTGAACCCTAACCTCCCACCCTAAACCCTAAACCCCTAAACCCTAGAGTAAATCCCAAGGCCCAAACCTTAAACCATAAACCCCCGACCCTAAACCCTAACCAAGCGGACCGAGCCCCTCAAAAGCCAGCCGGCCTGGGCCCATGTCTGCCTTGCCAAAATGCATATGCACCCCGACTTTCAGCACCTGCAACCAAGGCTCATAATAATAGTAGTAAGAATAATAACAATCATAGTCATCATAATAACTTAAGAATATTTATAACATCAAGACCACGAAAATGCTAATGCATGCTTCAGCCGCCAGAAGTTGCTTTGTTTTAATCGGGGCGTACGTTCTGTCTGGGCGAATCGTATCCACGACGCCGCAATGGCTGACAGTTGCTAACCGTCACACTAAGTTGAATGATGCATTTGTAGGCCCCTATCGCCAGCAGTGTAAAGCTCTGCCTACGCTCTGCTGTTGCGAGGCTTGTCTAGCTCCACAAGGTGTCTTGCAAGTACGACCTTCACAGTGATCTTTGATAAATTGGCTGTCGTGCCTGGGCTTCCCTCCAGCCGTGGCTCTTCTGGCCCTGCACGAAATAATGAGCCTCACACAGGGTAGTCTCTAGACTCTTCGTGTCGGCTGAGGGGAGGGACACCGCGCTGAAGAGAGCGCTTCTAAATCAAAGCCACCTCTCCGTACCCATGCAGTCAACGGCTCAGCCCCATACCCGGACACGCGCACCCTCGGCAATGCCGATGTAGTCGCACACATCCTTCCGGCCTCAGTTTTTTAGCGTCGCACCATGACATGAAATCAGGACACTTGTTGAGGTCATCTGTCTGAAGCAGGGCTTGGGCGTAGACATAAGACAAGCACCGCATGCACGTAGACAGCTAGTCAAGTAAGAATGCTCAAACGTCTTTGAGCATCCTTGGCCCAAAGCTTGTGGAAATGCGCAGCCGCCGTTGCTCAAAAAGCTGTCGGATGCCGCCCATTTTGCCCACAAAGGCCTGCATAGTGTGCTGGAAGAACCCCATGCCACTCATGAATCACAAGCAAGTCACGTGGGGGCTTCCCAAAGCGTGCAGACTCCACGCTTGCACAACAGAGATGCCTGGAACTTCTGAAGGGAGATCTTCCCATCCTCCTGGCACAGGCCGAAAGCTGTTGGTCTTCAGGATGGAAGCTTGACAGTGACATGCATCCCCAGGCAGAACTGCAACCTCCAGAGCAGCTGAAATTCACGAAGCGACTCCTTCATTACACCTGATCGCCAGCCCCACCCTGCTGTTAGCAGATTGCTGCTCGGCAAGACAGCTTCCCAGTTGGTCCGATTACCATCGCTTTTCCTCACATTTTCAGTCTCTGGATCCTGATGCTATGCCTTACCTTACCCCGCGCTCGGCGCAAAGGGTCGTAAAATTGGTCGAACGATTTCCGTGAATTTGGCCGCAGAGCTGTCCACCACAACAATGCTCGCTCCAGCCGGGCATTGCTGATGCAAACAGAATTTGGTTGCCCTTTTGTTCCCTCGCTAGCAGTTTCACGAGCTTAGCTTCCTCAACATGAAACAAAGGATCCCCAGAAGGTTGAAAATTGTAGCAAAGTCCCTCCTAGAGAGGAATGACACTTGCTATGTAGGAAACTGGGGTAGGATGGGAGCGGCAAATTTTCTGAATGGCATCAGGCTTTCAACTCTACTGGAGCTGTGGATGGACATGAATATCTCTGCGGCCGGGCACCAGCGATGGGAACCTGGCTACTTGTCAGAGTAAGGACAACTCAGTACTCTACCCACAAGCTTGACCAGAGTGACCCCATGACATCTTGGGTCAACAACTGTTGGACAAGCAAAGCTGAGAAAGAGTAAAATGCCACCAACTTGATCTCATGTTCAGGCCCTCTGCTTTACTTCCCTGGCTTACTGAGACAGCCGGTGCCCACCGCTTTCAGGGAGCTGGATGTCCCGGTAAAAAGAGCCAGGTCGATGTCGCTCTGCTTGGAAATGATACTCATGTGTTTCATTTTAAAAGCAGCTGCTCCACCCTGAAAAACATCGGGGTGTGGAGCAGCAATCACAGCAACCTGGCAGAGATGCACGAAGGATTGGGGAAGTCGGAGGAACCTCGTCCCAGGAGGCAACTTTAGCAACTGCGCTGCGGCTCAAGGGCTCAGCAGACCGCATAGCACCATCCCCCAAAAACGGAAGACTTCTGTGAGTTCCAGGGAGCCAGGTGACTCCCAGAATTCAGGCATGTAGGCCGCCTCCTGGGGTTTCCCCATGCCTCCCGTCGCTGAGCAGTGCGGCAGCTGCATCCCAGGCATGGACTGAAATTAACAAGCCCAGGCCCAGGCACACAGAGGGATGCTTGGAAGATAAGCACTGCAGTCTTGACAGATTTGACACAAACTTCTGGTCCCAGCCATCCCACTTTAAAGACAAGCTGCAGCTGCAACGCATCGCGCAGTTCAGGGCCGGGCAAGCAGCTGTAAAGCTGACTGTTGAAAAAAAGATTGGAACCTTTCTTAGTACTGACAAGGGAGGCGGAGGGAGCTCGGGGCAGTCTTTAAAAAGTTGCTGTCCCGTCTAGACTTGGTCTACCCTAGTGAGTTTGATGCTTCAGAATCTGCCATGATACTCTCCTCCTGCCTCCTCCAGGCACTGTGCATGGCGCGACATGTCACGTGGCGACACGCCGCCAGTGGCATTGCAGGCTTCGCGCGCTTCTTCAGTAAGCCTGCTCCTTGGAGAGTTGCACGTATACAAATATCTAAGCACTCTGCCCTCTAAAGCCACATGCCTTCGGGTGCCACAAGGGCGTGATGAAATGTGTCCATGGAAAAGAGGACACTGAGTGTTGTGCTGGCAGCCCTGAAGCCCCCACTGTCTTAGACTCTGTAGCCCTCCTGGATGCCAGCTAGGAAGCCATCCACGCAGTGCGCTCCACTTCGTTCATGGCCATGGACCAGTTGGCGAACTCCCGTTGCGGTATCGCACGGCGCCTGAGGAAACGTCTCGCAAGACTACAAACATCGGACCAAAAGTGTTGAGCACCTCTGACATTAAGGTCAAGGCTGCAAGCACTTGTAAGCAAAGTCGGCTCTGCTGCTGTGAAAGGCAGACAGCCGCTTTCAACGATACCCTTGTTACCGTTTCCGTGGTTGCTTCGTTACCTAGAAGATCAGATCAGAACTGGCAGGATTTCTGCTTGGCCAAGTGCACTCTGCTCATGAATATAAGACCAAGGGTACTCCAATCCTAAATCTTCTCTGCCGAGCCGCCGCACACTCTCCGTCACGACGTGGTGCCGGGGATCTTGACTGATGCGCTCCCACAGCCTGTAGCGCTTCCCACGATTTATGGGGAAACCTGTTCAGGCTTTGGGCATGGTGTGTGCTGCGGATGATAACCAGGAAAGTTCTGAACCATGGAAATGTCTACAGTACATGAGATCCGATGGAACATGGTTGCTTTTGTGGCCCGCACTGGACACTATCAGGAAGAAGTTATTGCAAGCTTTGCCCGTGCATGGTTTTTCGGTTGCGCAGACGTATGACGATGTAAAAGTGCGCTCCGCGGATTGAAAGAACAAAAAACAGAGGGGCTGACATGCAAGGGTATTTTGGTGGTTGCAGAAATTTGGCTTGCGGAAATCCTTCCTTTTGACAAAGCATCTGCAAGCTTCCCGACATGATCACAGCTGCAGAAATCGTAGGGTCTCAGTGCCCTTGTACAGCCAACGCTGATCAAAGTAAATCCGTTTTTTCCCGAGTGCCAGGCTTCTCGATGGATTCCGGCTTGCCCTCCAGGACTTGATAAACCACGGATGTCCTGGAGTCTGCAGTGTAAGACTGCCGCGCCATGTGGAAAGCCAGCAAAAGACTGAACCCTTAGCGGAAGGGTTGGTCTGGGCCGGCCTGTCGTTGTAGAGCATCCAGCCAGTGATGCCGTTCTTGGCATTCTGCACCTGAGGAGCAGCAGTCTCCGTAGCATGTCGTGGGATTTTTGTTACATATTGCGCGGTTGTTTCCTTAAGTTGGAGGACGCCTATATATACCCTCAAAAACTATCATAATCCCGATTATTCAGATCCCCAAAATGGTACCGCTAAGTTTGGGAAGCCCCTGATCCGTATAAACTCCTACATAATCCCAGTTTCCACGTCATTGTCCGTGTTCTTTTCCATTTGATTCTCCATTATTGCGGTCCAGCATATGGGGCTCTTGCACCTGACTCCTGACCGCTATCTGGGGGTTTCCGACAATTAGAGGTACCACTTCGGTGGCTTCCTATAGTAAGGATTATACTATTTTGGTGTCTATGTTGTGGTTCCACTTTAGGAAACTAACATCTTGGCAAGCTTCTTTGCAAGCCCAGATGAGTGGTTTGAAAAGATCTGCTGAAACTGAACTAGGAGGTTTGCTAGAAGTCCTTGAAGAAGACTTCCTTCTGAGTTTTGCAAGCTGCTTCCTGCTAGACATCTGCCAGACTGAGGCAAAACCACCTTCAATCTGACAACAGTCTAAGATCTCTGCCATTGCTTGGGGCACGATCTGGTCCACAACGCCCTTGGCGCTGAACTCTCCTTCGTTGATGACCGACTTGTACATCAACTGCCTTGGGAAGCCAGTAGTGTCATGGCAGGCTAGAGTTTCAGCGGGGCAGCGGAAGCAGCGAGCTACGCGTGTACAACTCCGGACGCGGGAGCTCAATAGTCAGGCCTGGGGGCTTGTTTGACGAAAGGTCATCATAACCCATGGATCAAACCCTTGACAGCAAAGCACATGCTCGATGTTGGCCTGCAATCGAGCTACGGCTCTTCTGCTTCGCATCCACTATGGCTTAAGCCGATGCTAAAGCCTGGATACAATTAACTCCTTTTGCTGGCGAAGAGGCCATCAGCCCTCAATTAACAAGATGTTCCCTCGGCTTACAATAACCGAGATGCCGTAGATGCCTACAGTACCTCTCAACTCAAACACACTCGAATAATGAAACGGATCACCATCATGATCGCAAAAACATTCCGGACACGCTAGTGTATCTCCTTGGGTCGCCAACCACGTATCCGCTTCCCGAGTTTGATTTGGGTTGAGGCTTTTGGCATGTTTTCTTCAAAACCACATCCTAAATCAAGCCATCACCACAGTTCACTACACAGAGTGAAGCCAAACTGCATGAGCTGGCTCTTCGCGCAGTCTTCGCATGCGGAAGCACCTGTCAGCGCTCTCCCTGAACGGTTGGTTCAGGAGGGCAACGCTTTCAGACAAAGCTTTAGCAATAGCAGCTACCAGCACGCAATATGAGTTCAGCTCAGGATGACAAGAGTTGTGTTCATCCTGGCGCTGGCGGTGTGACTGACGGGTCACGCGTGTTCCGCTTGATGGCTGCTGTGTTTGTTCTAAACTCATTTACGCAAGCAGGGCGAGCGAGGCCTTGGCCGAAGTTCGTACAGCGCATCCCCCAGCCGATTGGGAAGCTGCGGCTGTCAACCTGAAAAGCAAAAAAAATGTTGAGGAAAAGTTAGGATTTCAGGTCTAGGGTCGGAAAGAAGCTAGTCAGCAAAGAAAAGCAGCAAAGTCATGTGCGACTGATTTTTTGCCAGAAACGTCGCTTTCCAATTTCACTGTGTCCTCGTCGACCACATGCCTCTCATCCTGGCTGGTCTTCCAGGGCTTGAGACAAGCAATACAGCGGCTGCGAGACACTCGGTATTTCTCAGAATATCGGTCCCAATATGCACCCCCAAGAAAGCCTCAAGCAAGGTATCATAGGTTTTGGTGATAAACAACAAAAGCTAGGTTGGCAGCGGGCAGCGCAGCTCCTGGCAAATGGTAGTCCAAAGCCGCTGGACAGCCTCGACAGTCAAGGAGCTAGAAGACCAAGCATCTTACAGTCATCTTGTCGTTGAAAAGGGGCGGGATGCGGCTAGATAGCTTCTGGCCAATACCTGGTTAAGCCATCTACTGTAGCACGACTGCCAACAATCAGTTGGGACATTTATTCTATTAGCTATGCACAAAGCGGATGTTGAGACGTGTACGCTTCCCTGGCATCATGAACCCTGATGAGAGCGAGCATCATGTCGCATCATGGCTGCAGAAATCTCCAGTCCAAGTGGAGGAGCACTAAAAAAGCGCTCACAGAAGAGGTCTTTCAACATTAGCTGCCCTTAAGAGCCGCCAACTCTCACTGATGAGCCAGCCTGGCCTCTGGACTGCCCTCAAGGACCTGCAGGGATGCTAGTAGGGATTTTTCCGGCAACAACAGGCATCCGTCGAACCGACAGCTACCTGTGGAAAATTGCCACCGACTGAACACGTCATTCAGTAGCATAGAGCAAGGAAAGTTGGAGAAAGCCTCACGGTTCAGCCCAGACATCCGAAACCATGCCTGCCACACGTGCTTCAGCTTCGCATCATAGCCTGAAGCGCCATGAGCACACATTGCTCCACTATCACCACCTCATGTCTCTACGCATATGCAAGACATGACATGTGACAATTACAGGGATACACGACCTGCTGTACCCGAAGGCACCATGGCAAACAACTTGTAAACGCGCACACCTCCACGCACACAAATGACGCAAATGACATGCGACATGGGATGCGTTGATAAGATCGCCCTAACTCTGAATGGCCAAGGGGCACATGTGACCTGAAACTTGGCACGAGAGGTTGCTCTTCACGGACCTTGGCCATGCAGATTAGAGTTTTGGAGTTGGCCGGCTGGGGCCATCTGGCAACAGCGTGGCGGCTACATCTGTAGAAGGGAAAGACAAGGCCCCGACTTGGCCACAATATCCTCAATCTGTTTCGATGCCACCCCGGGATCTCCTCGCCTCAAATCCGTTTCAAGCTCTTCAGGCGTTCCCATGCAGAAATCTCAAGAATCTGATCATGTGAAGCTGCGCAGATGCCGCGAGAAAGTCAACAAAGAAAAACCTTTGCCAACTTGCTTCTGGGTAGCATGGTCGAGGTGTAGGAAAGGCGGGTCAATGTTGACATCTCACAGCGGGATCCTCGCACCATGCTTCACAGCTAATTGTTCCATTTGGCAGGCCGCTATAGTCTTGTGAGCATACTCAAGCCGCTTGCAAGCTTCTTCATCCAGCAAAGCTGCAAGTCTTGCTGTAAACTAGCCGTCAAGAACGTGGCCATGTACTGCAATTCCTAGGCCATGCCAGAAATCTCTTGGATTCTGCACCGGCCTTTCGCATGCCCCTGCTGAGAGGAGTAGGCAGCATAACCGCCTCCAGCGCAGAGAGTCTTGGTCTACACTTCACATAAGCATCCTGCAAGCAAACTGCCATATAGGGGCCCGCAAACGGAATTCCGCAGCCCAAACAAACTTTGCAGCTCCGCCAAGGATACTTTGACCCGAAGACCTGCACTGGGCATGTGCGGATGCGTGTACAAACACAAAACTACGATGACATCAGATTAACACTCCCACACCCGCAAGATCATGTCCCCATAACCTAACCCCCCATCTCCATTCCAGGACCCTCAATCCTTTTTGCATCCGGCCTGCCACGCCTCTGCCAGTAAAGACTTACATCTGTGCTCCGCACAAGACACAAGCCGCACCAACTGAATGGCAAACTCTAGAGCTCATGTGGGGGGATCATGTGAGGGTCCTAAATCCTAAAACCTCAAAAACAGCTTCCAATTCGTTTTCCATTCCTTGCTCGTATCCCTATATCGTACTGTGTGCCTCTACAGCCCCTGAATAACCTCTAAAAAACCAGCAAGATGCGCCTGCCAGCACTCCTCCAGCGATCCGAGGGGCCAGGCGCCGGGCGAAGAAGGCCATGGTTCTCGCTGCGGCAGCGGAAGCCCAGGGGCCCAAAACTTTCTCCCAAAACCTTCTCACCGAGGCAGCTCAAATACCCCCGCTGAGGCCATCTTAAAATTTACGTTAAACATCCATGCATTGCATCTGGGCCATGTCCCCCTGCCTTGAGCCGCAGTTTCATAGAATCTCCCTTGCTTCACGTCAGCGAAGACTCCCAAAGCAATTGTTCGTTTCTAGAATTCTACTACGCGCGCTCGAGTAACGCAGGCAAAACCAGCCTCATCCTTGTTCATGAACAGGCTCCAGCCCTCAGAGCCCCACCTGGCGCTAGACGCAACATTTAGGGGTTTAGGGTTTAGGGCTTAGGATTTGAGAATTTGGGCGTAGGATTTTGGGTTTAGGAGTTTAGGGTTCTAGGGTCTTGAACAAAGCTTGGATGACAGGATTGTGCTTCCAAGGGATGACAGAGAAGGCTTGGCGCCAAGGCCCCCAAAACAGATGGCAGTCTGCCTATCGCGTCTGCCTCTCTATTCGAAACATTGAACCAACTAAGACTCAAGACTTCACACCTCGGAGCCCTAAATAGTTGGGTTTAGGGTCCATTCCCTCCACATGAAGCCACATGCCCCCATACCTCCTTGTAGAACCTACACACCCCCATGATCCCTGATAATTCCCTGCATAGTCCTATATACCTTCTAATTCCCCCTGTAGAACTCTTTGCAATTTCTTAGTCCCTCCCAGACAGTCCTATAATTATACTCTCATGACAGTTTCCCAAAATAGGGGGAAACCAAGACAAATCCAAAAATACGATGATCCTTGTTATTGGGACCCGGAAGGGTACCCCAAATTTTGGGAAACACCCCTATATAATCCGAGGCGGTAACCCGAGGTATGCGCACATGTGCCGGCACTCGCCCGCTTCTAAGAAACCTCGGTGCCCAGAGATGCATAACGCCAGGCCCAGTAATCCCATGAGCTACATGCGGTAGATATTACTTACTCAGGGGTATACAGGGTTATACAAGGGGGAATTACAGGGAAAAAGGGGAAATATATTATCTAGGGGGAATGGAAAAGAACATGAAAGTTACCGTTTAGGCTCAGGGTCTATGGTTTTTATATATATATATATACATATTACCCATGAATCGAAAATCAACTGGAAAAGAAAATGAGCTGCGGCTGCTAGCAATAGCCACATATCATTCAAATGTCCTGATCACACCTGTGGCAAATCGGCAGCAAAATGTTGTTCTGGGTGCTGCAAGTAGCATCCAAACAGTTCGAGATCATGAGATCCAGCACAAGTGCCAAAACAGGCCTTCAAAGACCAAAGCAAGAAGACCTTCTTACAAGTAACCAACAAGCTCCCACCCCCCAAAGAGCAGGTGCGGAGGCTCATGCTCAGCCTGGAGTGCCTACAGAAACCTCACCAGACCTACACAGAAACCAAGGTTCTGACCAGAGCTGTCCTTGTCGAAACGTCGAAAGGCCTGCTCATGCTGAGCCGGATACATATGTAGGATTGCTCACAGCCTGTATCCCGGAAGGGTATGAAGTAAGAAGGCTTGAAAGCGCAGACATGTCTGACCAAAAATGAAGCACTGGAGAGTGCCTCCGAAATCTGCTGCATGTCCTCAGCGAGCAGGGGAAGAGCCGAGGGTTCAGCAGCGGCCAAGAAGCTCAACATCTGCCAGCCTAGGATGCCTCGCTCTGCCCCTAATGTAACTTTTAAGGGTCTTAATATGAGGATCCCTATTTTAATCCCCAGCAAGGGGAGGGGTTTATTCATCAGGGGTCTACATTAATTACTCATTGCTAGATCTGGCAGCCTACAGGTTCAGATGCTAGAATGGTGGCGTAATTGCCTTAAGGTGGTAGCTGGTAGCTGCCAGGACATCAACCTTTGTGCTATATGAGCACCAGGACTGCGTCTAGCTCCTAGCTGTCACACGCAGGAGGCCATGAATCTCTCAGCACAGAATACTCACCAAGCATTGCACTTGTTTTGTCTCACTAGCCGGGATGTTGAAGCCTGTGTCACTCCAAAAACTTCTCCCTATCTGTCTGCAGTCCTTTGGGCTGTCTTCGGATCCTGCGATTGCAGTCACAGCCTGCACGGCCTTCACGAGGATGTCGAAGCTCTGTCCGACCACAGCTCGTGTTTGCAGAGCTAGGTCGCTAGCTAACACTCTCAACGACATCTGCTCCTCGTCCGTCGCCAGCACTGCAGCATGAGCAGGCCCAAGTAGGCACAAGCCGCCACAGGTCTGAAAAGCCGGCATACCTTGCACTGCCAGAGTTTCAGGGCTTTCTGAGACACGCGGAAGACAAGTTAGCCTCTTTAGGCTTTGCGTGCGTGCCTGAGAAGGAGCGGCCAACTGGTCCATCTCATGCCTCTATATGGAACCGCTGTTCATGTCTCCTTCGGTCGGCTTCAACATGCTTGAGGAGGAACTGCAGCTTGGCCGAGGGTTCTATCACAAGCATTCACAGGCCGGTCCTCGCACAAAAAGATGCCGCGAAAACGCTGAATGAAGCAGAAAACCGTGTTGGCCTCTTCTTGCTTCTCCTGACCGCGCAAAAGAAGAAAGCAACCCACAGATAGCACAACGGCTTCCTCTCTTGTTTAGCGCCGCACGTCGTGCAAAAAAAAGTAAGCTCATTCACCCTCTGTGTGATGGTCTCCTGACTCAGCGTCTGGAACTTGTCCGGATGCCACTCTCGAAGCAGACGTCGCAACAGTTGGCGACGCTCCTGCGGACAACCCATCTACGCAGGCAGCCACCTCAACAGAGGTACATGCAGATGAGCTCACACGTTTATAGCCCGCTCCCTTCCTTTCCCCAGGCCCAAGCTGGTTCAACTTGCCTAGCCTCTACACCCTACGTACGGAAAAAAGCTGAAGCACACGTTCAGCTCGACAACGTCTCGAAGCAATCCCTTGGCCCACAGCCTCCTGCGGCTTTCGGATTCTCTGGCGGAGTGCTGCTAACGCTTCAGTGGCACCAGGGACAGCGGCGGCCTCCTGGCAGAGGCTGGTTGCCTAGAAGAGCCGAGGCAGATGTGCAAGTAATGCACGTATTTTACATCCTGTAGAACTGAACTGGACAAGTGGTGGAGCTCCCTCCCTCCTTGTTTCAAATCTTTGGCGCAGCCAACTGTTGCAGACCGTCTTCCAAAGCTGTCAACTGACTTAGTGAAAACTGCAGAGAACCTCGACGAGGGCTTGTGAAAAGAGAAGCTCAGCTTCCCTGGATCAAGCCCGATGTTCCGGCAGCGAGACCAGAACAGAGGACATCAAATGCCAAATCCCAAAGCCTGAAGTAGCGGAAAGGTTACAAGGGTACCTGATTCAGTTGGAATATCACCTGTAGCCTCGCATCACTGTGTAGCTGCGACCGGCCTCCGGGATCCATAGCCCAGATATCCTTAACCTGAATCCCAAATAGGGGGAGTTTGTGGCCATGGAATGAGCTCCTCATCCAGGCTTGGCGCAAAGAGGACCTGTGCCGACTTCGCCAGACGCCCTGGCCAAGCACAAGCCCAGGGCAGTTTAACCGGTTGATTTCACCCTCTTCTTCGCTGCTTCTAGTCCCCCTAACCCTTTTTTTTTTCAACCCAGGACTCTCTC